TGCGAAAAACAAGAGAAAGAAGAAGAAAAAAATGTCACAAGGCAAATCTTATCAACAGCTGTTAAAGCAGACCAAAACAAGCCTTATCTCTCTCCTCACATGTTCCTGTAATAAATAAAATTTAAAAAAAAAACAATACTTGAAGGGTTAGAAACAGGATGGAAACGTTTCACACAGGAGAGACAGTGACAGGTTGAACATGAAGACTTTATTTTTCTCAACCAATATAAAGAGCCGGCCCTGAAGCCCCTCAAAGGACAGATTGTTCAGATTAATTTAATAATGGATTTTCCAAGATCAGAAAAATGTCTTGAAGTGTTTGTAATCAAAGTCACATGTTGATCATCGCGCCCAAAAAATTCAAAACACATTAATTCTGGAGAAGATTAAGAACGAAATGTTAGCGACGGCTCACACCTAAAAACACTTTAAAAAGAGTGTTTTAATTAGTTACAGTAACACAGTTGCACCCCTGCTGGTCCGTCTGTTCACCACGTCTGTATGGTTCAACGGCTGCACCAATCATTTGCATTATTCCAGCGGTGCTCCGGGGTAATCTGTGCCTGTAATCTGGTGGCCTGTGGTTATTTCAGTTTGTTCATTTATTTAATTATGTATTACTTAATTTAAATCCATAAAATTTCTTTTTTTTGAAAAGTTCCTTTTTATGAAGCCAACTATCCCAAGTGAAGTGCAGAGTGAACACAACGATTCACAGTCTATATCATTATGTCTATAGTCCATGCTAATGTTCATATATATTAGCACATGTTAGCTTTCCTTGTTGACAATGGTACTGTAGGTTCACGAGATTGACAGTTACGGGCAGAATAACTAAAAACTCTTCCACTAGGTGGCAGGAGATGATACAGTGTGTATCATTCAGTGAATGTTAGACAAAAATGTGTTTTTGTGTTAATTTTTGGTAGTGTTTGGAATTAATGAGCTGAGGAACTCACTTTTAAAAAGTAACTCCTTTATTAGGATGTTTAAGGTAATTTTTTTCTTTTTACGTCTGACTTTGTGGATTGTAATGACAGAGTTCAGTACTGGATAAGCCGCTTTTGGTGATTATAAATAAACTGAAATGGAAAAGTGAATAAAAGCCACAGTTTTATTTGAAATATGATCATTTAGCAGCAGCTCACTGTCTGAGATCCACTAAGTCGTATTAAATTGAGATATCCCATATTTATTTTTAAACATTTTAAACTCATTAATGGAGCTTCAATTTAACGCTGCAGCTAAGACAACCTGACGTTGATGGACGGACCCTAAAACATCATTAAATAATGAATCAAAGTACACATAAAGTACACAATGTTAACAATCAGTCTTGGAGGAATCCGTGTGGTTTAAAGCCCTGAGGCTGGATGGCTGAGAACCTCCACAGACATGAGGCTCAACCCTACAAACCTGCTACACATCTGCATGCTTTTACTTGTGCTCATTTTTTGACTGAAGCACCAGTCGACAAACATGAGAGATTATTAAATGATGCATTGCTGCAAGGTAGTACTGTATTTTAAGGCAGGAAGGTATTCGTGTACATGCAATTACTGTCAGTACTGACTGACTGACTGATATGAACCCTGTAGGTCAAAGACAACATAGAAATGTCAAGCAGAGCTGTAGGTTTAATTCTCTTTAATTGTCTGCCTCCCCTCTGTTGTGAAAGGCATCTGTGTTGTGGTCTCCTGCTGTCAGGTCATTTCAGAACACATTGTTTTGAAAGATTCTTTCATAACCCTGGGCCAACGGAGGAATTCTTGATGTTTTAAAATAACATTAAATTGTGAAACATGAGATCCCTGGGATGCAATATTGTCGATGCTGAATGTGAACCAGAGAGAAAGTAAAGAGTCTCGTTTCACTACGTTCAAATGTGTCATTGAGTCGAAACCTCGAAATAAGAAAAAGGGTTGCTACACTTCCTCAAAGTGGTAGTTTCTTTTTGTGTTTTTTTTTTTTTAAATTGCATTTGTTGCAAATTCGGAAACCGAAAACAAAAATCAGGGCACACTTTTTGTCAATAACAATATCCCTTTGACGCCTGTCACCAATTATAGTTCACCATGTAGTAAAGAGTTCAGGTCTCTGTCCATAAACCATCAGTAAAAACCATCAGCATGCCCCCCCCCCCCCCCCGGCCCCCACTGCTCCCCCACCAGGCGCATGAAGCAATTACAGATAGATTTAAAGACAATATGCTCTCATGAAGACAATGACTTTTTTTTACAGTCTGGATTGTTGAGTAACTCAGGTCTTTTACACAGGCAGCAGGGTGGAAAATTACACTGGTCTGAGAAGTATCGCTCTCTGCTCATCAAACTCTTTCAGAGTTGATGTTAAATGAAAACAGAATCACGTGTTGCTCGCACCAGTTGTAAACCGGTCTCTGGAGCGCCTGCAGGTCTGAGTTTGGTCTGTGAAGACATTTGAAGTCTCGTCTTTATCATCTTGAAAGGTGTTTCATTGGTGGGTAGATTATACAATCTGTTTGGGTTTTTGTATACTCCCCAGGATTTTTAATTTTTATCTGAGAAACAGCCAATCATATAATCATGTGTCTTGGCCTGGGTTTGGGATTTGATCAGACATGTTTTCTCCACTAGACTTGGTCCAGATTTCCTTTTTTATTAACCTGTTAACAGTTTCTAAAAGGCACTGTGGTTGTCATTGAAATCTTTGCAAAAATGTGCGACGTGCATGAACGCATCATGCATGGTTTTGCACAGCAGTTATAGTCTGTCGATGGTTCTTGGTTTTCCCTCTTGAGCCTCCAGTTTCCATGGTGTTGCCACCTCTCTGCAGCGCCCGTGTGTTTGTCTGCATCCATCTGCAGTCTTTGCACCAACTCTTCCATTTTGCTCTGCTTTTCACAGAGCAAAAGTCAGCACTGTGTCCACCCACTGGCACGGGAGAGAGAAACATAAATGATCTTGGAATGATCAGAGTCGGTGGGAGTAATCCAGTCCAGCAGTGTAGCTGGAAGGAACATAAACTCCGCCTCCTGCACGTCCAGATCCAGTTTGAAACATTCCTGTCCACAAACTAAAACCACAGCAAAATGTCCTTGAGCAAGACATTGTTTTCTCCTGACAGTTGACCGTGATGATTCTGTACCAGACAACACACACAGAGAAATGTTTAGACAATATAGAAATATACATCGTTTTGTTTAAAGTATGCTTGACATTATCTCAGAAATATTTTACTCTGTATCAAAGTGTTCTTTTTTATTCTCATGCCCAGACTGGCTGGGGTTCTAGTTCCAGATCCTGCCTGTCCTACTGTGAGGATGGTGTTCCTTGTGTGATATTCCTCTCCTCCTTCAGTACAGGCTGGACATCTGGGGCTAATGAATTGTAGTTCAGACTGAAAACTGATAGTCAAAAACATTTACATAAAGGCTATACTGCCATCTAGTAAGCACGGTAAACCAAGAAAGCCAGTCAGTCAGTTAGGCCCTGGCTGACAGTTTTGACATGTGCTGTCTCCCTCTATTGGCAAAGATGCAGTATTGCAGGCAGATATCTACCGATATCTCTCCACTGCTCTGCTGTCGTGTCTATAACAGGTTACAATGACCTGCCGGAGGAGACCGTTGTATTTTTTGACACACAAACAATATCAAGGTCGATTGTTGAAGCACACGGAAGGATAAGAAAAGAAAAAAACAGTGAAACGAAGAGATACCGAGCAGAACTGTGTCTTTGAAAGGCTGTGTACAGTAACGACTTGGCGCCTGACTAAAACGGCTTCACTTCTCCTTCTAAGGTTTTTTTTTACACTTCTGGACAAACTTCTTGATGTGGACGTTGACATTCAGACAGCAGGTTTGTACAGAGAAGATTTTATGGCCAAAATTCAAATTTTCATCAACATTTGGTTAAAAATTCAACAGGTTTGTCGAACAGGAAGTTGAATAAATTATCTATTAGCTTTTCATCTAGCACATGTATACCTTGTGCTTCTTAACTAGATGGCTGAGCCTGGTTGGTCCAATCTGACCCTTGACCTCCAGGAGTCCTTGACCTATGATCTGGCTCACAATCTTGACAACTGGAGGCGAAACGCGACAGCTGCAGACAAGAATCTGGCTGAAAACAAGGTCAGGAACGTCATCTGGTATTTGGTGGTGATGACTGGAATATTTACCTTCATTGTTGTGGTCATCCTGGTGGCCACGGTGAAATCCAAGAGAAGGGAGCACTCCAACGACCCGTACCACCGATACATCAAGGAGGACTGGACCGCTCAGTTACAGCAGAGCCACGTGATAATTAATGCTGCAGCGTTACCAACAACCAACTGTTATTAAATGTACAGTAAACCTGGAGAAATGTGTCTGTTAAAACGCACCTGTTGGTGTGTTCAGTTTTTAGATCAGTCCTTATCAAAAGATAAAGGCTCTAACACAAAAAATAAATAAAATCAAAAACTGGTCGAACTTTTGAGGTTGTTGGATGCAAGAAAACAAAAAGTAATTTAATCTGCAGTACTAAACGATCGAAGGCGAAATTTACAAGTACAAAAAAAAAAACAAAAAAAAAACGAATTGGCGAATTACTTTTATTCTCCACCAATAGAGGACAGCAAAGACTGTTCAACGACACTGCTTGGAACAAACGGGGAAGTCAGGAAGAGGCACAAACAGACGTTACTGTTTTATGAATAGTGCTTAAAACCAATACAAAAAAAAAAAAAAAAAAAAAAAAGAATAAAGTGAATCTTTTGAATTGTAGATGGTAACAAACCGTGTTTATCATTGCAAAACTTTTTTTTCTAATGCTGTGAGGTCACTATTATGGCAGCTTAAGAAACTAATATTGCAAATTTGAAATAATCTAATATTATACTAGAAAAACAGAGTAATATAATAACAACTATGTAGCCTGGGGCCTCCAGCATCACTTTTTCATATTAATGAAAATATTATTATTTCAATATCATATTATTACTTAAAAAGTAAATAATTAAAAAATAAAAGGAAACACCTTAGCTCCTTGTATCTTCCTTATAGTATTTGAACTCCCTCAGTTAGAGATGACAGAGAGCAGCCCCTCCCCTCAGTTGTTCTTCACTATCTCTATTCCTCAACTCGGCATTTTATTTTTAGAACTTAAACAACTGGTCTCCTAAAAATGGGCCTGTTCTACAGTGGTAAACGGAGAAGAGAGCAGCTATGTATGGCATCCCTCACTGGGACCCCCGAGCCCTGACGCTGCTTCTCACTGACTTTTGTTTGCAGCCAGAAGTTGTGAAGGAGTGATCGCCCAGAGAGAAGGAGCAGCCCGGACCAGATGATGCTCTAGAAAGTGACATTTTTGTGAACCGGTTGAGATGCTTCACCAACGCCACTCACGGACTACTTCTCACATCTAAGAATTTCTGCAACATTTTCTGATCCCTTCACTGGGGGTTCCGTGACCTTTCGGTTGTCTGATTTCAGCAAATATAAACCATACTCTGACACTGGGAGTGTGTGTGTGTGAATCTGAGGATCATGCTCTCCTTCTGGTTGTTCCTTCTCCCCTGCCTGAGCTTCGTGAATGTGTCCGTGGCAGAGAAGGCCCTTGACTTCCCACAGTATGACGGGAAAGATCGAGTCCTGGACATCAATGACAAGAACTACAAGAGGGCGCTGAAGAAATACAACATGCTCTGCTTACTGTACCACAAACCTCTGCCTGAGAGCAAGGAGCAGCAAAAGCAACACCAGATGACCGAACTGGTGCTGGAGGTAAAGTGTGGCAGGAGGAGGGAATGAAAGTCGAGGTGAAATGTTCAAGGTCAGATTAGCCTTCGCTATATGCTAATCCCTTAGGTTACCAATGTAGTTTGACAGAAATTGTCATTTTTTTGTGTGTGTTTGTGTTTTCAGCTTCAGCTTAGCCACTTGAAGCTCTGTGTGAATGTTAAATTACAGTTGATAGGTGTCTCATTCTCCTAAGAAGAGGAGAGGGGGAGGGAGGGGGAGATGGTCTGCCGTGGCCTTCTGTTTAAGGTAATCTGAGGCCCCTTGTGCAGTCCTGATATTTTATGCATGCACAGAAAGGTCATATTAATATAAAGACTCAGTCTCCGAGGCGAAAGAAGAGCGGCTGCTGCTGCTTACGCACAAAAGTGACTGAGAGTTTGACGTCGGCTGATAAAACCAGAGTGAGGGAAGAAACACATGAAAAAGATAAAGAGTAAAAAATATTAACATTACTATCTGTCCTGTAATCTATCCTACTGTCCTACTTATGTATTTAACCAAGAGGGACAGCATGTAAGGAGAAAAAAAACAAAAAAAAAACCCCAAGAAATTTAAAGGCAATAAAAATATATGTAAATCTGCATTTTTTATAATATTAATTAATTATAATATTTATATGTTTATTATTTGTAATATATATTTATATATATATAATGTCTGTGAAAATCATGTGCAAATTTACACCACCTAAGAAAACCTGTAGCATATTGTTATTATATTTTTAATTATTTTTTTAGTTCAAAATTGCTGGTGTCAGAGTTTTGATTATGGCTCACCTTCAGAACCACTGGTTATACATATATATATATATATATATATATATGTATTTACAGAGTGGTTATACTTAGAACAGAGCGGTCTGGTTTATTATGTAACTGCTGCAGGGATCCTCTGTTCGTCTGCCAACTTTAGGATTAATTTGTTTCCCCTTTGTTTCCACTCAGCACTGCAGCCAACACTGCTGTCGTCTTCTTCTGTTGTAACTTTTACAGCCAGATTCCATATGTCAACCACTGCTGCTGTGTTGTATCTAAATATCATGTTCATTCTTGTCTATTTTCTGTGTTTCCTGTCGGTGGCAGCTGGCAGCTCAGGTCACAGAAGACAAGGAAGTTGGCTTTGGGATGGTCGACTCCCACAAAGATGCAAAGGTGGCGAAGAAACTGCGTGAGTTTTAAATCAAAAACACATATTGTGCCAACTTTCCCAGCCATCTCCATGACTTACTCCACTGCCTGTATGTGATGTACAGGCCTGGAAGAAGAAGGCAGCATATATATTTTCAAAGACGACCGGATGATTGAGTACGATGGTCTGCTCTCAGCAAACACTCTGGTGGAATTTCTTTTGGATGTGAGTAAAAAAACAAAACAAACAAACAAACAAAAAAATCAAGTAGCAACAACTCTTGCTTATCGTTTACAAATGTCTGTTTAAAGGGTTTTCTGACAAATTATAAATTATTATTTAAACACAGGTTTACTGTCAAAATTTTGTTGTGTATTTTAAAAATGTTCAAAATTAAGATGTTTTTTTCAAAGGTTAAGCTAAGCTAAGCTAATCCTGCTTAATCAGTCTGTTTCTTCTTCTTCTTCTTCTTTGGGTTTTTACTGTACATCTTTTAAGCTGCATTAGTGCCACCTGCTGGGCCTATGTAGCTGTAGCAAACATTTCTATGGCAAAAATGAACACAGTAGAGCAGAGACAGTGGGCCAGTGAGTCTCTGCCGATTAAAAACCTAAAAACCGAATCGGAAAAATTTGATATCAAGCAAAGTGTTTTAGGAAACACTACTGTATACTGTGCCTCTGAGGCTGGATAACTGATGCTAGGGGGCGCCATTTTAAAAAAGTTTCTCTATGCTCTGATGATCTGTCTGTAGCTCCTGGATGAGCCTGTGGAGATCATAGGAAATGCCGTGGAGCTCAAAGCCTTTGACCGACTGGAGGACGAAATCCGCCTCATCGGTTACTTCAAGAGTGAAGACTCCGATCGTGAGTGAGGCGGACGTGCGCTGGGTTTTATTTTGGCCGTTGAAACATACAGTATTGTCCTTTTCAATGGGCCTGTGGAGGACACTGTGTATTGTGTGCCCTTCATTACAGTACTTCCATTGTAACTCCTTTATCTCCGTGGATTTGCAGATCCATTTTTACCAACGCCGCACACACAGCTGCTGCCTCGTCCTTTCTAACATGCTTTGGAAGAACTAAGTCTAGTTTATACTTCATACAGCCACCAGCTCGAGTGCATCCCATATGACCAACTGTGGGAGCATTACAAGTGAAGGTCAAAGTTCAGCTATTTCCACTCCCTGATGTGAAAATGACACATACACAAGAGCCGAGAAAAGCACCAACAGATGTTAGAGAAAAAAAACAATTCCTAAATACACAAATGCACAGACTAACAGACAGTTATTCATCTAATTTAAGGACTATTATTGTAGTATCTGATTATTGGAGTGGTCGGTTTGCAAAAATGAACAAAAAAATCTGCTTCACTCGGTCAGCTGTTTTGTTCCGCACTGTTTTGTGGAACCTAAATTAACTGATTTTTTTTTTTTTTTTTAAGATTTTGAAGCATTTAACGAAGCCGCAGAGCAGTTCCATCCTTACATTAAGTTCTTTGCCACATTTGAAAAATCAGTGAGTAGCTGACCCAACACACAAACAACTGCACACGTGCACTGCTATTTGTGTCGCTGTTAAGAGTGTTCTTGTCCCTTTAGGTGGCCAAGGAGCTGACTCTGAAGATGAACGAGGTAGATTTCTACGAACCCTTCATGGAGGAGCCTGTGACCATCCCAGGAAAACCTCTCTCTGAGGAGGACCTGGTGGAATTCATAAATGAACACAGAAGGTTAGCACGGAGCAGTGCCGTGTCCCTGTATTCACAACAATATATTCCAGAATAATCTGTTTGTATTATACCACAGCAGTAAAACATGTTAACGCACCGTTATCCTCTCAGACCAACTCTGAGAAAACTACGTGCAGAAGATATGTTTGAGACCTGGGTGAGTGAAAAAGTGAAGCTTAGGGAATATATGTAGCTACATACATTCATATATATGTACATATATTGGAGTATATATACATTCATATATATGTACATATATTGGACTCTCCAAGTGTCCGTTGTTTTTCCAGGAGGACGACATTGATGGCATCCATATTGTAGCTTTTGCAGAGGAAGAGGATCCTGGTGAGAACGTTTTCCCTTTGAATGGTTTTCTTCCTTTTTTGTGTCTTTTGTGCTACCCCTGAAGTGCTCTGGCGCCCCCCAGGGGATGTCCGTTTCACACTAGAAAACTACCGTCATAGGTCATGATGAACCTGAGTGTGAACCCCAGTATTTGCTCTACATAAAGGTTAACCTTTATTTATAGAGTGAACATGGAAGAAATGTAGGTCTGCCCTTTCACTGAGCTGATGGGAGACAAACGACTGAGCGACACCACAGGCAGTCGGACCGTGAACGGATTAGAGTGACCTTTAACAGAACCGACCATGACACCAATTATGACATCAGAGCTCTGGGCCAGGGAAGTAAAAACATTATTCTGAATTATACACTGAAACCTGGCAACTGAAACCACTTGGCCATCACCTAGTGGTTAAAGAGTATACTGCAGTCCGCTTAAACAGAAAGAGTCTGCTTTGAAAGTAAAAAGCAAAAGAAGAGGTTGAAAGACAGAGACTTACTAATTACCCAACCAGAAAATATACAAAATTTGCTATGGTGTATTGCTCCTGAATATTATATCACCAATGAAATATATAACTTTTTTTAACCCCTAATCCCAGCAAAGTTTGTTTTTGGTTCCAAGACTTCAGTTCCAATCATCACTTTTTCTTGTCTATTCTGAAGATGGCTTTGAGTTTTTGGAGATCCTGAAGGAGGTGGCTCGGGACAACACTCACCTCCCTGACCTCAGCATCATCTGGATCGACCCCGATGACTTCCCTCTGGTGAGCTGCGATGCACTTCCTTGTGCACAAAGGCAGATGCACGAGATATTTGGTATGTCGTTGTTTACCTCAGGATGTAACAGAACTCCACTGTCTGTGTTCAGTTGATCCCCTACTGGGAGAAGACCTTCAAGCTGGACCTGTTCCGACCACAGATCGGAGTGGTCAATGTGACAGACGTAAGTTGAGGACGTACGTCTGGTAGCGTGATAGCAGAGTGTGGTTTCTCCTGACGACGTTGCTGGTGTCTGTGGTCAGGCTGACAGTGTGTGGATGGAGATGGAGGACGAGGAGGACCTGCCCAGCCCTCAGGAGCTGGAGGACTGGATCGAAGATGTCCTTTCTGGAAAGATCAACACAGAAGATGACGACGATGATGAACTGATCGACGATGATGACCCCGATGACGACGATGATGATGATGATGATGATGACGACGACGACGATGATGATGATGATTATGATGATGATGATGACTAAAATAGAAGCCTCTGTAGTGTTTACTCTTGCATCTGAGTTGAGGCTGAATTTTAAACATTTGTAAAGTACAGTAACCTTTACCAAGAAAATACTATGAAATTTTACATCAAAAATGTAATTACTGTATTTTATGCAAATTGGGATTGGGATTAATAATAACATGTACAGTATGTACTGTCAAAGGTCTGGAGTCAGACGTTCACCTGATAATGAATGACAATCACTGATGTGTAAATGACGAGGTAATAATAAAGATCAGTGGATGTCAAAGGTGTCATTACAGTTATGTCAATTTTTATTTAAATTCTTTTCAAATGTCATTCCTTATTATATAATAAGAACAAAATATGTGAACAACACAGATCATATGATCAAAAATGTGTTTATTTCAAAATAAAGTGCAAGTTAAATTAAACGCTCGAATGTGAAAGTTGTGGCACAGGAAATTCTTAAAAAATAATGTATAACTGTCATGACATTTCACTTATAAATGCTCCTTCTGTGCTATACAAAAAAAAAGATAATTATTTACAGACTCAACTATTAAACAATACAACACGGGTTTTTCTAAAATAAACAAAAACAAAGCAACTTTAAAATAGCTACAGAAATCCACGTCGATTTCTATTCTATTGGTTGTAAACAGCACATGTCGTAAAACAGATCTCAAAGTGTCCGCCTCCCCCTAGCTGCAGATTAAGGAAACACACTTGTCTCTCACAATATAAAAATTACAACACTAATCAAATACTTTGAAAAGGTCAATACAAATATTTATTCTTTCAAACAAATGGGATCTGTTGACACATTTACAGATTCATGTAGAAAAGATAACAAGAACAACGGATCTGCAGGGTTTCCTTTGGGAACTCTCTCTCTCTCTCTCTCTCTCTCTCTCTCACACACGCACTCACACTTTACATGTATTCTTCCAGATTCCCAAGTATGTAAAACTGAGGCACGTGTCGTCAATAAGTATGTACAACCATCAACAACAGGTCCGTGACCACAGCAACAGATGCGCCAATAAAAATGCACAGTATAACATGCCTGTAACAGTAACGCAGAGCAAATGTTCGTTGGAAAACGTTAGTTCATGTTCCCGAAGTGGCTAATAGGTGGCAGTAGTGAGACACTAGACAGATACTGAAGTACAGAATACTGACTGCAGAAACGATGAGATAATTTCTTACATTTTTCAAGGTTCTTTCAGCATGACTTAAAATTCAATTTACGTGTTCTGCAAATGAACCTCAGAGAGAACCGGCCAAAAGTTGAAAAATCACACTTGGTCACATCCTTTTGGCCCGACTGTAATAATCTGTGATGTAATGTTTTTCTACAGTATTTAGTGCGAGACACACTTTCTGTTATTTACAGTCCACAAAAACAAGTCGACAGACGAGGTAACAAAAACATCGATGGCAGTTCTTCTCAAAATCCTTCAAAACGAGCGACAATTTTAATATAAAATTGGAATACATTATAATCAATAACATATAAATACTGTACATACGTCTGTAAAAC